AATCAAGCCAATACTCCAAGAGAACCACAGTGTGCTGCAAGGTTAGAAATTAAGAGTAAACATCTCTCCTGGTCATGCTAGGGCAGCAGCCACTGCTCTAACAACTCCCACTGAAATTTGGATTCCCAGAGCTCCAACACATCTGCCTCCAAGTGATTCACATCTTTATAAAAGAAGCAGAAAATAGTATATGCATCCATATACAGAGCATCGCAGAGAGTGCAAAGCAGATTTTTAATTTTGATTAACCCAGTGAACATACTGTTCTTCATACTTTGCCTTTAGAACTGGTAAGTGGAAACATCATAGAGAGCTAATTCGTTAGAGGTTTAATTTATTGAAAACAGTATTTTAATTAATTTTCTATTGGCTGGAAGGAAAAGGCTGTGGATTTTGGGACATCAAATTCTCTCTCATGGTTGCCTGGGTGTCACAGTCAGTTAAGCATCTGCTTTCAGCTCAGGTCATGATCCCAGAGTCTGGGATCTAGCCCCACATCAGGCTCCCTGCTCAGGAGGGAATCTGCTTCTCCCTTCCTCTCTGCCACCCTCCATTTACGTGCATTCTCTCTCTCTTTCTCTCTCTCTCTCTCTCAAATAATAAAATCTCTTAAAAAAAATCCTCTCTCGGGCGCCTGGGTGGCTCAGTGGGTTAAGCCTCTGCCTTCGGCTCAGGTCATGATCTCAGGGTCCTGGGATCGAGTCCCACATCGGGCTCTCTGCTGGGCGGGGAGCCTGCTTCCTCCTCTCTCTCTCTGCCTGCCTCTCTGCCTACTAGTGATCTCTCTCTGTCAAATGAATAAATAAATTCTTTAAAAAAAAATCCTCTCTCACTGGGAGATCACATACTGTAACACAATGATGTAGAACCAAGAATTTTTATACAAATTTAAAGGATATATGCTCTCAACATGATATTGATGAGTAAAACATGACAGGAGATCGTCAGTGATTAAAAGTGATGACTAAAATTAAGAAAAGCAAATTGTGAGGATCCTGGTAACTCACACTAGCATTGAAAACAACGTAATAGCTAGAAATTCAACTTTTTAAAAATTTTTTTAAACACAATAGCAGTATTTTTCATTTCATCATTTCAGGTGGTGACAGGACATGTAAATAGGCACATCATAATGAATGCTGGAGAAGGAGCAGGTGAGGGAGAATTAATGACCAGAGCTAAATAGGCAGAATCTCTCTGCCTAAAACTGACCATTACACCATAAATACAAATGAGATCTTAGGAATAAAGAGGGAGAAGTCCTTCCAAGATGTTCATATGCAGGGAAAGGAAGGAAATGGAATAATTCAGGAAACTCATATGAGTATTCTAAATAGTAGGAAAATATCAAAAACTTTTAACAAAAAGAGAGTAGTTTCCAAATGCATAAGGCTGTCAAAAATGTAATCCAAATAGGGGACATTAAGAAATTTAGAAACTTAGTTGTATTGGATATGCAGTATGTCATTGATTGTCTCATAGTATAATAAATTTGAACACAAGCAGCTCGATAGTATACATACTATTGAAAAAAACTAAACTAATATATTAATGATACTTAAAACTTAAGAATAAAAGCAAAAAAATATAGTAGTTTCAGTTTTACTCAACTATAACTCATATACTATGAAATTCACCTGATTTCAATATATATTTCAGTGATGATTTTTTTTTAATTTATTTTTTTTATTAACGTATAATGTATTATTAACCCCAGGGGTACAGGTCAGTGAATTGCCAGGTTTACACACTTCACAGCACTCACCACAGTCAGTGATTATTATTATATTCACAAAGTCATGCAACCATCACCACAATCTTATTTTAACTAATTTTATCATCATAGAAAGGAAAGACTGCCCATTTATACTCAAAGTGATACTCAAAATTTATACTCAAAGCTCAAAGTGATACACTTTCTCTCTCTATAGACTTGTTTAGAAGACATTTCACAGAAATAAAATCATACATGTGGCCTTTTGTATCAGGCTTCTTTTACTTAGCCTAATATTTTTGAGGTCCTTCAGTACTTTACAGTAAGTATGCATAAATTTTGAAAAACAAAAATCAGTGGAGATTAAAATTTTTATTTTTCTCTTCAAGTGCCTATAATGAAAGGAGGAAATATTTACTTGAATCAGTTAGTCTTACATTAAGTAACATATATTGTATACACGTGAGGAAGAGCAGAAATGCTCATATCCAACTACTTAATAAAACAAGTTTTGGCTTGTTCCTTTCCTAATGGGGATTTACATGGAAAATTCTTGATTTGTAAACTTGGATTTACATGAATGATTCAGATACAGTGCATGCTGTCTTGGTGCTCATTCTGTGCCTGGCCAGAATCCTACACATACACCCTCTCACCTAATACTGCATCTCTTTAGGGTAGTCCTGTGTCTAAGACCTGGGAAATTTACTTTATGGGGATCTAGATTTTTGATTTACTAATGAAGATGTGGGGAATAAATGATTTCAAAGTTCCTTCCTAGTCAAATATATCATTATTCTACCTTCAGTTTCCTCCAAAGTACATCATAAATTGAGTAAAATAATTACAATAAAATATGCAATTGATTAATTGAGAGGAAGAAAATTTTCTTCACTAACAGAATTTTTGTCTAAACTATATGCATTCTTTCCTTTCATTTATATTGCCTTTATTCACTCATACAAGAACAGGTATATTAGGTGTAGAACTAAAGAAATAGTTTTAGAGATTTGCTTGGGAAAGGAAAAAGAGAAATAAGAGAAACAAACGTTGGGAAAGCTATCAACATAAATGAATGCCAGTTTTCCCTCTAAAATAAAATGAAAAGGCAAATAAAGCTATAAAATAGGCTTTATTTGTATTAACTGCATTACACTTCACTGTATTCATTCCATATGCAAGTTTTTCTATTGTATCATGGGGCATGAAATTCCATGTAGCAAAGGTATTCCCAAATTGTAGTTGGCATATTCATTTCATATTCACTCTCATTTCTCCAAAGAGCATCTAATTATTAAAATTACTTTTGGGGCACCTGGCTGATCAGTCAGTGAGCATCCGACCCTTGATTTCAGCTTAGGTCATGGTCTCAGGATGGTGAGATCGAGCCCTGTATCAGGCTCCACACTCAGCATGCAGTCTGCTTGAAATTCTCTCTCTCCCTCTCCTTTGGCCCCTCCCCCTACTGGTTCCCTCTAAACAAACAAACAAAAAAAAAATCTTTTTTTAAAAAATTACTTTCACAAAGGTCTCCAAAGGACAATTCTTGCTCACTCACCAGATAATCATGAAACACAGCCCTTTGAAGACCATGCGCTGGGTGGCTGTCCTCTTCCAGACCCACTGTTATCATTCAACATCCACTCTATCTAGTCCTGGAGGTTGACTGACAAGAACATCACTTTCATCTTTCTTTGCCCTAATTTATATGCATTATCCAGTTCTTAATAATATCTCAAATAGGAAAGTAGTCGAGGAAATTAAGGTTGGAGAATGGTGGTAGGACATTTTGACTAGGACCCGAGTAGAAATAAAAAGGAGAAAGTTATAGGTCATTGGAGAAAAGAGAACAGATACTCTCTATGTACCTTCCTATCTGCATTCAGTCCCTTTTCTAAAGGTACCATTCCTCTTACTCACTGCTCTGAATTCTCTTCTTCCCATGTACTAACTTAATGTTTTTATTTGGTTTAACATGTACATTGGAATGGGCCTAGATTCAGGATCAGATTGACTGGGCTTGAATACCAACTTTGACCTTTGTTAGCTGTGTAACTGTAAGTCATTAAATACTTCTATGCCTTAGTTTCCTTATATGCAAAATAATAATAATGATAATAATCCTGCCTTCATGGGATTGCTATGAGCATTAATAAATGCATTAATAAATATGAAACACTTAGAACACAGTATAGCACATACTGATCACTTAATTGTTACTGATCATTTTATATTATTCTAGATCCTATGAACAATAAAAACACCAAGTAAAGACAATTTAGTATGACATGTTACAACTGAAGCAAAATCTGTATGTTAGGGTTGAATCATTTCACTATTTACTTCTTAACCATCACATACATACATTTACACAAAACACACCCACTTCTCACTGTGAACAATAGCAATATAAGGAATTGAGAAAACATGCTCATAAAGAACTAAGGATGAGTCCATGCTTCCAGAAATTCTCAGTGTACTACACATCAGAAACAAAAAGCAAAATTATTTTTTAAAGATTTTATTTATTTATTTATTTATTTATTTATTTATTTAGAATGTGTGAGCTGGGGGACAGGCAGAGGGAGAAAGAGGGAGAGAATCTCAAGCAGATAAGTGTGGAGCTCTGTGCAGGGCTCGATCTCACAATCCTGAGATCATGACCTGAGCTGAAACCAAGAATTGGATGCTTAACCATCTGAGCCACCCAGGCATCCAAAAAGCAAAACAATCTTTAATGAATTAAAGGACTTTCTTTCATATACAAATTAGCCCTATGTTGTGTGTGTGTGTGTGTGTTTATATTTCTTTCTTCATTTTAGAAACATGGAATGACCTTAATAAGTTACCTCACTGATACACGACAATACAATTTCCTTATCTTTCAAATTGCATATTTCTTATATATTGTTGTATGATAATCTCAAGAGGCAAAATAAATACTAATGTAACTACTTATCTAATTTTTCCACATGAGCAAATTAGTAACAATCAAGATCAATTGATAAAAGGAGACCATTTACCAGAATAAAAAAAATAGAAAATAAAATTTCTACTCCTTCAAATGCTTTTTAATTGCTGTATAACTATATTGTTTCAAAGTGATGTGACACATAAGTTAATTTCAAATTATAGACAGTGATGCTGATATGTTTAATATTATATATTTTCGTAAGTTCAACTATTAGTCATCAAATAGAAATAGGAAATCATCAGTGCTAATTGTGGCTTTATTTTTATTTATTCTCTTTGTATAAAAGAACTTCTGGAGCCTTTCTGAATCAAAGAAATGGATCTTAAAAATGGATCTGTAGTGACTGAGTTTATTTTACTAGGATTTTCTGGACGATGGGAACTTCAGATTTTCTTCTTTGTAACATTCTCCTTAATCTACAGTGCAACTGTGTTGGGAAATATTCTCATTATGGTCACAGTGACATTTAGTTCCACTCTGCATTCTCCCATGTACTTCCTCCTTGGAAACCTCTCTTTTCTGGATATGTGTCTCTCCACTGTCACCACGCCCAAAATGATCACAGACTTACTCAATGAACACAAGACCATCTCCATATGGGGCTGCATGACCCAGATGTTCTTTATGCACTTCTTTGGGGGTGCCGAGATGACTCTTTTGATAGTCATGGCCTTTGACAGATGTGTAGCCATATGCAAACCCCTGCACTACAGGACAATCATGAGCCAGAGGCTGCTAAGTGGGTTTGTGATACTTTCATGGACAATTGGGTTTGTACACACCATGAGCCAGATGGCATTAACAGTAAACTTGCCTTTCTGTGGCCCCAATGTCATAGACAATATATTTTGTGACCTTCCCCTTGTGATTAAGCTTGCTTGTATGGACACATATACCCTGGAATTCTTTGTCATTGCTGACAGTGGGCTGCTCTCATTCATCTGTTTCATCCTCCTCCTTGTCTCCTACACTGTCATCCTGATCACTGTACAACAAAGATCATCTGGAGGGCTCTCCAAGGCTCTGTCCACACTGTCTGCACACATCATTGTGGTCACTCTGTTCTTTGGACCTTGTATCTTTATCTATGCCTGGCCATTCAACAGTTTTGCTGGCAATAAAGTCCTTGCTGTATTTTACACTGTTATCACACCCTTACTGAATCCTATTATTTACACTCTGAGAAATCAGAAAATGCAAGGGGCCATGAGAAAATTACAGTTCCAACATGTTATCTCTATGTGGAACTTCTAGATTTGAGCACCATATAATTAACACAACTTTCAAATACTGTGCTAACAGAAGCTGAATAGATTGTATATAATACATGGTTTCACTTTTATTATGTTAGAGTGACTAGTCCAGAACCATACTTGTGCAGAACATCATAAAATATTTTAATTCACATTTACTACTGCTAAAGCTCATAATGATAATGAGTGACCTTACAGCAAAATAAACATTTGAAATCATTGAGCACTTTTCCATAGATATTCAATATATATTTATTAGTGAAGAAATAAATATTAAAAATATGGTAAATACTAATAGAAATGATTTTAATAGATGTGGATTGTTAACAACATTCATAAAGTTATACTATCTTTAGATGAGGTAGCAGTACAAATCATGGGTGAAATAATGTGAACAGTGGGAAAGATATCATTCTAATCTCTTGATCCAAAGAGACAAAAAATAATAATAAAGTTTGACAGTAAAGTGAATATAAAATAAAGAGAATAATATACCAGAGGGAAGGAACCAATGCAAGGACAGTTTCAGAAGAACTACAAAAAGCAGCCTTGAAACCAAGTGCTCCAAGAAATATCATAAGGATGCACAGTTGCCTTTCAAGCCTCAATAACTAAAAGCAGAAGTATATTTCTTGGTTTTAGGTACTACATCATGTAATTTATTCTTCCCAATAGCTTTACATAAAACTACACTTAAATTTGCCTCTGATAATCTTGTAATCCTTATTTTAATTATCAGTTAAATCTGATTTGATTGTGAGTGTTGAAGAGGGGGCAGTGCATGGTAAATTGGGAATCCCATACTCATTGATGGTAATCTTAAGTACTCTCTCCCACTTCCAGACACCAACATTTCTTGTCTTCTCTAGGCAACAGTTTTCTAATTGATTTTAAACCATTGTATAAGTTCTTTCCTCTATTGCATGGATTCTCCACAAACATCCAGAGTGATGAAATTAAAATGAATTCTCAATGTTTCTTCCATGGCTAAAACTATTCTCTGGCATTGAGAAGAAGGTTTATATCCTTAATGGGCTTTCAAAAGCCAACCTGCTTCTGGAATTCATCTCTAATCTACTTTTTCAAAATGTCAGATTTATACTGACTTTCGTTTCCTTTTTTTTTTTTTATAGACTGTAGAGTTCATTATTTTTTTTTTACTGTATACTTGCCTTCCATTTACTTTTTTATTATGTTCAGTTAGCCAACATAGAGTACATCATTAGTTTTTGATGTAGAGTTCAATGACTTATTAGTTGTGTGTAACACCCAGTGCTCAACACAATATATGCCCTCCTTAATACCCATCACCTGGCTACCCCATCCCTCTACCCTCTCCCTTCTGAAACCCTCAGTTTGCTTCCCAGAGTCAAGAGCCTCTCATGGTTTGTCTCCTTTATGATTTCTTCCCCTTCAGTTTATATTTCACCTAGAATAATCTTCCATTGCTTCTTCACCCAGCAAACTTCCTCTTATAGTACAGAACCCACATCCAATATTATATTTTAGAACACCTTTCCTATATGTTCTTGGCCAGTTTAGATTTCTTTATTTTACTCATTTATAGATTCTGCAATTTCCATCCTTTGCATAAAAAATGGCAATAATTATTTGCATATTTATAGGTTAATATCAGCTTTGTCTTTTGTAATAAATTCTATGTATCTCCAATATCTAGCATACATATTGGCACCCAGCAGTTCATACATATTTACTGAATGAAGAAAGAAAAGATGAAATAACTATATTCTAGCTGAATATTATGCAATTTGACCTACAACTAAGAAATACATGCACTTCTACTATGAGATATCAGTTAAAAAATTAGAGTACATAAAGGTATATATTGCTCACATATTTAGTAATTGAATTATATGGATTAGAGCCTTGTTATTAAAGAAAAGGAACATGGAAGAAATTAAAAATTTTAGGCAAATGGAAGAAAATACATAAGGCAAGTTGAGAATATTTGCTATGAAGATTATATTCAGCTTTATCTCTACACAGTAAATATAAAATGTCAGTCTTAATTATAAGACATCCTATATTAAATAAATGATAACCATTTATAAGGTAAAATATGCATCCAGTGGTGGATGGGATTACACTCCAACTGATTTTTGTGTCTGTCAGTATAGGACACTCAAAATCCTAAACCATTCTGCTAACCAAGCACATAAAACTGCTAGAATCATCTAAAATAACCTTTAAAATCAATTATGGATTTTAAGAGAAAGTAAACAAATCACATCTGCAGTGTTGTATGAAGCTTCAGCTCCATTCCAGGAGGGTAAGCCAGCATTGAATCATTGCCCACTCTGAGAACACCTACAGAATACCATTGCCTAGAGATCGTACAAATTTGGGAGAGTACTGGGGATTGGGCTTTGGGTCCCTAACAGGGGCAGAGAGTGACTGGAGGCCACTCGGTGTGCACGTATTTTCTGGGGGGAAAAAAGAGAGAGAGAGAGAATATTAGAAGACTGTCTGGCTAGCAGAAACAGACAGACAGGAAAAAAAATGTTAACCAAACTTGATTCTGGACGTAGATGAAAATAAATGGGTCTTTCATGAAGGTTAGGCTTATCAACATATTCTTTGTATATTCCTAAACATCAGTGTGAGAATTTTCTTTTAACTTGCTACTTAAGGGTGTAGGCTCAGGCCTTTGGCAAAATTAAATAAATACAGACTGGAAAAAAAAATGTTCCTTGAAAACAGACTACACTGAGCTCTCACAGAAAGGTTTTACAAAAAACTCACAATCAAAAATCACAAGACAAACAAAAACATCCCAGCAAATATGACAGTTTGGAGAAAGTGAAAAGACAATGCTTGAAATGGGGAAAAAAAACTTGTAAGTCATGAATCTGATTAAGAGACATGGGTTCAGAATACATAAAGAACACATTTCTAGAATTGAAAGACAAATAATTTAAAAAATGGGAAAAGGAAATAAGTAAAAAAGTCTTCATAGAAGATATACAAACAGACAATAAGCACATGAAAATATGCTCAACATCATTAGTTACTTAGGGGTATACAAATGAAAATCACAGCAAGATACCACTTCGTATCCACTAGGATGGCTATAATCAAAAAGGACAAATACACAGAGCAGTTGGAACCCTCATACATTGTTGGTGGAATGTAAAATGGTGCAACCATTTTGGAGAAAATTCTAGAGGTTCCTCAAAATGTTAAACATACAGTTACCATGTGACCTAGCAATTTCACTCCGAATATGTATACAACAGAAATGAAAACATATGCCCACACAAAAGACTGAATGAATATGAATGGTTACAGCAGCTTTATTCACAAAAGTAAAAAATTTTTAAAAAAGACAACAGGATTCATCAATTGATGAATGGATAAACCAAAGACGGGAATATCTATACAGTGGAATATTATTTGGCAATAAGAAGGAATCAAGTACCAACAGATGCTATAACATGCATGAGTCTCTTGAAAAATTAGGTAATGTACAAGAAAGGAGGCACAAAAGACCACAAATTGCATGAGTCCGTTTGTATAAAATGTCCACAATAAGCAAATCTTTAGAGGTACAAAGCAGATTAATGGTTACCTGGGTGTGGGGAGAGGGGAACAAGGATGCAGTCTTTTGTGACTGGCTTCTCTCCTTTACCCTAATGTTTTCAAGACTCAACCACATGGCAGCATGCATCAATACTTAATGCTAGAGCCACATCAGCAACGTGGAAGAACAGGAAATCCCTCCTTACCCCCACAAGCACATCAATTCATCCACAGTTCATGCAAAAATTCCTTTTGAGAACAATCAAAAACTAATTGAAAGTCTCCTGCACCCCACAAGAATGCAAAACCAGGCTCACTGAAGCATTTAAGATTAAGGACACCCTATCACCAGAGACCCTGCCCCTGTCACAGTATCCTATGAATAGGAAGAGACTCCCTAGCTCCCAGCATCACCAAGGGGAGGAAAGGAATTTGTTCACATGTCCAGTACCCCAGCTTTTCAGAAGGGGCTTCCTGATGACTAGATTCGATCTTGTCAGTTTTGAAGCTCTGACATGTTTGGCACGTTCTAGCTGTTTGAGGGAGAACAGAGACAGTAGCTTGGGCTAGTAGATACCACTGAGCTTCCTCACTGCTCAGCACAGAGTGGGTACATTAAAAAATCCCAGCTCTCACCTTCTCCCTGAGGAGTATAAGAGTTAATCCATGCATCTAACACCATAGCTTCTCTCCAGCTTCCCAAAGAACTAGGTTCTTTCTCACCAATACTGAAGCTCTGATGCTTCTCACATAGTCTAAGCAGCGAGGAGAGAATGTAGACACAGCTTGGTCTAAGAGATTCTAGAATTTCCCCTATTCCTTACCCCAACCAAGCTCAGCACAGAGTGAGAAAACAAAAACCACTGTCAAGAAGCTGCCTGCTTATTCCTGGGGAGGGAAAAATTTGCAGGAATTTGCAGAGCCAATGTATTCGGGGGCATTTATCTAGATGTACGTATCCCAGATTTTAGGGTCCTAGATTTTTCCTTCCAGTGTCTTGACCTTACCATAACACACATGCTTTGCCTAACTGTTTATATTTTTTTGGAGTTGTTAACTCTGTGAGAGTTAACACACTAGCAACACACTGTCTATGGTACTTCTAGTACAAGAGATAAGGATGTCTTTGTAAACTATAAGAGTTCCTTAAGTCCCTATCTTTAAATTATAACCACTTGTTAATGGCCTTCCATTTCTTATTCCAAAGCACCAATACAACTTAGCGATAAGCAAATAACTCCACTATTCACAGAAATTATTCTCACCTTAAATTCCAAATGACTGGATCATTCACTGGCACTAGCATAGCTTTTCCACAAGATGTTTTCTCAGGTCACCACCACTGAAATCTTTAGGGTTTTTGTCTGTTTTTATTAAGGCTCTACTCCCAATGTGGAGCTTGAACTCATGACCCTGAGATCAAGTGATCCAGAGTTGCATGCTTCACTGACTAAGCCAGCC